TATATATAATTGATATTATTATTGTTTGATTTTTTTTTCTACCAACAACAATTCCTACATTGTGTTTGATTTTGGGATATTCAATTGGGTTCGATTCTTTCAATCTTGTTTTGAGTCTATTCACATATTCATGTCAAAACATTCATCTATTTCGCTTATTCAAGTCCTTTGAGTCTCGCAGTCTTTGATTAATATTCGGTTTGTTTGAATTCTCAGTAAAACAATTGATTTAGTTCACTTGGTTCTTTGAAGTGCTTGGAGGGAGACTTTGAGTGGTAAAAAGCCGAGTGGTGAGTTTAATAGAGGGAAAAAGCCATAGTGAATGTTTTCCGAGTGAAATCTTTGTGAGGCATAAAAAAATTGTGTGATATGATGTCGGAAAGAGAAGGTTCCAATTCAAGCTGAAACGGTAATGACAACAATGCATCGGAGGACATGATAAGGAGGTTTGAAAGGGTACTTGGTGATGTTAGGGAGAAGGTGGATAGGCAAGGGGAATGGATGGTGCAAATGGGTACTACAATTGCTAATCTTAATCGGGGACAAGTGGAGATGTCTAATGCTAGGGGGCCGGGTAGGCGTGAATCTAGGAGAGGAAGGCGAGATGTGTATTGTAGTGATGAGGGTGATTTTGATGAAAATGACTTTGACATGGGCCGAGCGAGGCATAGGGGCAATAGGATGGAAAGACGGGATAGGAATAACTTGGGAGATGAATTAGATGGAAATTTGGAGAGTATTAAAATGATTATTCCGCAATTTAAGAGAAGAAGCGATCCAGAAGCATATTTAGAGTGGGAAAGGAAGGTTGAGATGATTTTTGAGTGCTATAATTATTCAGAGGAGAAAAAAGTAAAATTGGAGGTACTTGAATTTGTGGATTATGCGATATCTTGGTGGGATCAAGTACTTACATCACAGTGTAGGGGTCGGGAAAGGCCAATTAGCACTTGGGATGAGTTGAAGATGTTGATGAGGAGGAGGTTTGTTCCGAGTCACTATTATAGGGAAATCCATCAAAAATTGCAAGGTTTGTACCAATGATCGAAAAGCGTAGAGGATTATCACAAGGAGATGAAAATTCTTATGATTCGGGCTAATGTGGAGGAAGATCGGGAAGCTACCATGGCACGGTTCTTGAATGGGTTAAATCGGGATATTGCAAACGTTGTAGAGTTGCAACACTATGTGGAAATCGAGGACATTCTACATGTGGCAATGAAGGTCGAGAGGCAATTGAAGAGGAATGGGACGTCTAGGCAATCGTTAGGTACTTCGACTCCTAATCCAACATGGAAATCGAAGTAGGATGACAACAACAAAAACAGGGCTGCACCTAGAGGTAAAAATGATTGGCAAAAGGGCAAGGATGAAAACGCTAGCAAACCAATATCAAAATCGGAGGCACAACCGTTGCGCAATCGGGAGATCAAATATTTTAGGTGTTTGGGAAAGAGGCATATTGCTTCTCAATGCCCAAACAAACGGGTGAAGGTGTTGTAGGATAATGAAGAGATTGTGAGCGATAGTGATGGCGAGTTTGATGACATGCCGACGTTGGAGGGTGTTAGTGAAGAAGAAAAAGTTGAAGGGTCGGTTGGGGGTCTACTAGTCACAAGGTGAGCTCTCACTATACACGTCAAAGTAGATGACTTGGAGTTGCGACGGGAGAACATTTTCCACACTCGATGCCACGTCAACAATACGATATGTAGTGTTATAATTGATGGTGGTAGTTGCACTAATGTAGCTAGCGTATCTCTTGTAGAAAAATTGGGTTTAACATTGTTGAGACACTCGAGACCTTATAAATTACAATGGTTGAATGAGAGTGGCGAGGTGAGGGTAAATCGAAGGGTGTTACTTAATTTGTCAATTGGGAGTTATAAGGACGAGTTAGTATGTGATGTGGTGCCAATGCAAGAAGGACATATTTTATTGGGGCGACCATGTCAATACGATAGGAAGGCTATGCATGATAGGTACAAAAAT